AGGTCACCTTCAATTTCTTAAATGGAATCTACATTTTCTCATTACATATTCTTGTAGCTTATCTCGAGAGCTTTCCAAAACACTATAATAAAATATTTTTTTATTGAGTACTTTTCGAGTTATGAGGCTTGAAATCATTTCTTAATTTAACATAAACCGTAATATATCTAGTAAAATATTCATTTTTCGATTATCTTGCTTTAATACTTTTATGTAGTGGTTTAAAATAAACACATAGTTATTTTTAAGAAAAAATATGTAATTTGCAATTAACAATTACATATTTTTTCTTTGAAACAACTATGAGTTTTTTTTACACCATTGATTTCTCTCATTATTTTGTACATAAAAGTATTAAAGCAAGATAATCGAAAAATGAATACTTTACTAGATATATTACGGTTTATGCAAAATTAAGAAATGATTTCAAGCCTCATAACTTGGAAAGTACTCAATAAAAAAATATTTTATTATAATGTTTTGGAAAGCTCTCGAGATGAGCTACAAGAATATGTAATGAGAAAATGTAGGTTCCATTTAAGAAATTGAAGGTGACCTTCATGTGACTTTCAAATAACTCTTCAAGGTCAAATCAATGGTACCATCTTATGTCTCCCTAGATACCATACAACTTTTGTCTGAAACATTTTTCTCTTTCAAGCTTGGTTTTCGAGATATTCGATTGGATGGATTAAAATGGGACACCCTGTATATATATAATTAAACATTTAAATTTTGTAAGATGTATTTAATTATACTTTCAGGATTTAAATACGTATCAGTGTACGTATTCATTGACTCATCTTCCATTTTTGATTTTGCATCGCAAAATATAAATTTTCAAATGAAAACTAAGATAGACAAGAATACAAAGAAAGCAAAGGTACAAGAAGGAACAATTTCTGAGTGAGATTTCTCTTTCTATAAAGCTAAATCAGAAGCAAAAAACTGTTACTGAACCCAAGAAAAGTTCTAAAAGGATTAATCTTGTCGGTTTTGTATGGAAATTCTACTATGGGGAATATAGTGCAAATTCTCAAGAAAATGTGTAACGGGCCACCTTTCTCGACGCTCCGGAACGGCTCGTCGGATAGCCAGGATTCGAGCGAAGGGGGGTAAATCATTCAACTCGTGCGATCATTTTCTTAGAAACTAGAGTTGTCTTTATTGTATGAATGAATTATTTACAGTGTGTGTATGCGAGAGTATAAATGTCGGTGTGTGTGTCGCTATGTATGTATGACAGCATAAATGACGGCGTGTGTCTAACTAACTAGAAATAAAATAATACCCGGTGTACAAATAGGAACGGCAGGGTATCCGGTGTACAAATCGGAACGACTGGTCTGGCACGAATAAGAAATATATAACGGGCGCACGAATATTAACTAGCATCGGACGGTCACGGAAACACGGACTTACTCTAAGGAGAATATACAGCGGGAGACGGATTTTCGGGACGGACAGGGAACCTAGGACTAGTTGTACCGTCGACGGGGCTGGTTAGTCAGTACGGCTTCTGATGGCCGGACACCCCGTGCAATCGGGCGTTTGCCTCGACTGAGACTGCGTACAAGAAAACCCGGAGTTACCCGGTGGATCAGACGACAAGTCGTCTCGGACTGAAGCCGGAAAAACCGGAGACACCCGGTAGATCGAGGAACGCCTCGACCGGGACTGGTACAGGAGCCGGAATTACTCGGCGGGAGTCGAGAGACACCTCGACCTGGAGCGGTTTCGGGAAGCCGGAGACACCCGGCGGATCGAGGAACACCTCGACCTGGAGCGGTTTCAGGAAGCCGGAGACACCCGGCGGATCGAGGAACACCTCGACCTGGAGCGGTTTCAGGAAGCCGGAGACACCCGGCGGATCGAGGAACGCCTCGACCTGGAGCGGTTTCAGGAAGCCGGAGACACCCGGCGGATCGAGGAACACCTCGACCTGGAGCGGTTTCAGGAAGCCGGAGACACCCGGCGGATCGAGGAACGCCTCGACCTGGAGCGGTTTCAGGAAGCCGGAGACACCCGGCGGATCGAGGAACGCCTCGACCTGGAACGGGATGACCGACACCGGGGGCACCCGGTCGAGCCGAGGAGCACCTCAGCCCGGGCGAGATCTGGTCAGGATCTGGCCCCGAGGCACTGGTCGTGCCGGCTTTTATACCCGGCCGGAGATCCCCTACCTGGCGAATTTCGCAGGTGGGGCACGACTGCGAAATTTGGGGAAGATTCGGACCGGACGAGCGAGAGCGAGACAGCAAGCGCAAAGTGGCGAGAGCAAGCGAGAAAGCGAGCGTGCGAGCATGCTAGGTTGCGAGCGAGATAGCGGGAAAGTAGCGGGTGCGATTAGATCAGCGCATACATAGAGAGAGATAATAAACATATTTATTCCAGATTCATACAGACTTAGGAACGAGGCGCAGGCGCTTCGTTACAAATGTACAAACAAAAAGAGAAACCGAAAATAAAACAAACTAATACAGGATCATTAACAGAGATAAAGACAGAAGAAACTAAATTACCTCTTACTAAGCTTAATGAAGAATCTGTTGGTAAAAAACAAAGGAAAAAGAATTAAAAAATTTGCAGATAAAACAAGTAAAGCGTGAGTTACGTAAGAAAGGAAAGAGGAGGCGTGTTCCATATGCTGCATTTATTTATTACACTTAGTACAAAAGAGATAGAGGCAAAAATAGAAGAAATCAAGAACAGGAAAGTGTTAGGAAAGAGGGCAAAGAGATTTTTGTCTGTACTTAATAGAAAGTTGAGATTAGAAAAATCAGCACTGGATAAATCAGAAAAATTAAATGTAATAGAAAAGAAAGGTAAGAAAAAAAATCAGCAAGTAGATGCGTTTGTGAAAACTGAATCAGTCTCTAATAAGCATAATGAAGACAAAATAAAAATAAAAAAAGAACATGTCGAACATGAAACAATTAAATTCAAACAAGATGAGGATGATCAAAATGACAGTAATATTATGAAAACTAAAGATAATGATAAGGATGAAAGTGACGAAGATCAGAGTGATACTGAAACAGAAGAATCCACACGCGATGCAAATGAACAATTGGATGATGAAAGTGAAGATGAAAAGGGTGAAGATGCTGAAGATGATGAAGAGGATGAAGATGATGAAGATGAAGAAGCAAATACTTTTAAAGTAAAACAGGAAGATGAAAAAGAGACAAAAATACAAGCTAAACAATTTTTGGAACATCACAAGAAAAATCGATGTTCTTTTTGTGGGCAATTTATCAACAGAGTAAGAGCACATATTTTTATTTTCTAATATTTTTACTGCTTAATTTCTTAGATAAATTTTAATAATGTTTTCATTTATAGTTAACAGCAGATGAACTCAAACAACATTTCTTAACCAAGGTTGACACTGTATCCAATGTTAGGATCTCAATTAAATCAGATATAAAAACACCCTGAGGATTTGCGTTTGTGAAGGTGACTAATAGTACAGATTTGGAGGTAAAAACATTTTGTCATATTCTTTATCATAATTTATATATCATGAATATATATCATATTTCCTTATCATAATTTTTGTATTTTCAAAAGAAAGGACTCTCGCTACATCATACAATCATAACATCTATAAATATGCAGTCGTTTGTTCTATATATGTATGTAACATGAATGAAGAATCATGTTTACAATCAAAGATGTTCCAAACAATAATCTTGTAAATATAATCGCTTTAATTATTTATTTTATATAATTTTTATTGTTATTTATTATGTTTCTTAATCTTTAAGATTGTTTTTCTTTCTTTAATGGTTTCTTTTTTCCCTAATTTACACTAGTTAATTTTTTAGCTTTTTGAAACGATTGTGGCTTCTTTTTCATAATTCCAAAGTTTTTTAAATCCAGAGTAAATCCAAAGTTTTTCCCAACATTCGTCTTTTTGTTCTTATTGGGTTTTACAATAATCTTTTTTTATGATTGTATGATGTAGCGAGAGTCCTTTCTTTTGAAAATGCAAAAATTATGATAAGGAAATATGATATACAGCGTGTGTCAAAAGTTCCGGGACGGCTGGATAATTTGAAAAATACGCATCACAGAGGAAAATGACCTAGACAAAAGTTGTAGGATTTTTCCCGGGCAATCCGACGGTGATCTTAGATTTGACCTTGGATGGTCATTTAAAGGTCACATAAAGATTACCTTCAATTTCTTAAATGGAACCCCCTATTTTTCATTGCATATTCTTGTAGCTTATCTCGAGAGCTTTCCAAAACACTATAATTAAGTACCTTTTTATTAAGTACTTTTTGAGTTATAAGGCTTGAAATAATTTCTTAATTTTACATAAACCATAAAATATCTAGTAAACCATTCATTTTTCGATTATCTTACCTTCATACTTTTATGTACAAAATAATGAGAGGAATCAATTGGTGTAAGGAAAACATACAGTTGTTTTTAAGAAAAAATATGGAATTGTTAATTGCAAATTACATATTTTTTCTTAGAAACAACTATGTGTTTTCTTTACACCAATTGATTCCTCTCATTAATTTGTACATAAAAGTATGAAGGTAAGATAATCGAAAAATGAATGGTTTACTAGATATTTTATGGTTTATGTAAAATTAAGAAATTATTTCAAGCCTTATAACTCAAAAAGTACTTAATAAAAAGGTACTTAATTATAGTGTTTTGGAAAGCTCTCGAGATAAGCTACAAGAATATGCAATGAAAAATAGGGGGTTCCATTTAAGAAATTGAAGGTAATCTTTATGTGACCTTCAAATGACTATCCAAGGTCAAATCTAAGGTCACCGTCGGATTACCCGGGAAAAATCCTACAACTTTTGTCTAGGTCATTTTCCTCTGTGATGCGTATTTTTCAAATTATCCAGCCGTCCCGGAACTTTTGACACACGCTGTATATTTATGATATACAAATTATGATAAAGAATATGACAAAATGTTTTTACCTCCAAATCTGTACTATTAGTCACCTTCACAAACGCAAATCCTCAGGGTGTTTTTATATCTGATTTAATTGAGATCCTAACATTGGATACAGTGTCAACCTTGGTTAAGAAATGTTGTTTGAGTTCATCTGCTGTTAACTATTAATGAAAACATTATTAAAATTTATCTAAGAAATTAAGCAGTAAAAATATTAGAAAATAAAAATATGTGCTCTTACTCTGTTGGTAAATTGCCCACAAAAAGAACATCGATTTTTCTTGTGATGTTCCAAAAATTGTTTAGCTTGTGTTTTTGGCTCTTTTTCATCTTCCTTTTTTACTTTAGAAGTATTTGCTTCTTCATCTTCATCATCTTCATCCTCTTCATCATCTTCAGCATCGTCATCCTTTTCATCTTCACTTTCATCATCCAATTGTTCATTTGCATCGTGTGTGGATTCTTCTGTTTCAGTATCACTCTGATCTTCGTCACTTTCATCCTTATCATTATCTTTAGTTTTCATAATATTGCTGTCATTTTGATCATCCTCATCTTGTTTGAATTTAATTGTTTCATGTTCGACATGTTCTTTTTTTATTTTTATTTTGTCTTCATTATGCTTATTAGAGACTGATTCAGTTTTCACAAACGCACCTACTTGCTGATTTTTTTTCTTACCTTTCTTTTCTATTACATTTAATTTTTCTGATTTATCCAGTGCTGATTTTTCTAATCTCAACTTTCTATTAAGTACAGACAAAAATCTCTTTGCCCTCTTTCCTAACACTTTCCTGTTCTTGATTTCTTCTATTTTTGCCTCTATCTCTTTTGTACTAAGTGTAATAAATAAATGCAGCATATGGAACACGCCTCCTCTTTCCTTTCTTACGTAACTCACGCTTTACTTGTTTTATCTGCAAATTTTTTAATTCTTTTTCCTTTGTTTTTTACCAACAGATTCTTCATTAAGCTTAGTAAGAGGTAATTTAGTTTCTTCTGTCTTTATCTCTGTTAATGATCCTGTATTAGTTTGTTTTATTTTCGGTTTCTCTTTTTGTTTGTACATTTTCTTGAGAATTTGCACTATATTCCCCATAGTAGAATTTCCATTTTGTACTAAACCGACAAGATTAATCCTTTTAGGACTTTTCTTGGGTTCAGTAACAGTTTTTTGCTTCTGATTTGGCTTTATAGAAAGAGAAATCTCACTCAGAAATTGTTTCTTTGCTTTCTTGTCTATCTTAGTCTTCATTTAAAAATTTATATTTTGTGATGCAAAATCAAAAATGAAAGATGAGTCAATCAATACGTACACTGATACGTATTTAAATCCTGAAAGTATAATTAAATACATCTTACAAAATTTAAATGTTTAATTATGATATGTATATACATATATATATATATATTGTGACGTTGCCGTCACGACGGACGTCCACCCGCCAAAAAGACTGCGTGACGCGAGCCGAGCGGCCGCGCCGGTCGAGAGATCGAGAGCCCCGCCGGAATTTTCAGAGAGGCGAGCGCGTTCGTTTATAAACAAAAACTTTATTCTTAATCCTATTTGTCTAAATTGTATGATTTCGGGAGCAATAAATCATCGGCGGCGATACCGAGGAACAACCTGGAAGCCTATAAGAAAAGCGGCCTTGCCGAATCATCATCGATCAAAACAGTGGCCGTGAAAAACAAGGGTCGGCGATACTCGAGCAGCCTTGCACAATTTCGGTCCATCGGCCCAGCATCCCAGGGCCGGCCAGCAATGACGGGCACCGAAAGCACCCCGAGAAGGGGCTAAACCTTCTCGGAAAATTCCAGAAAAGTCGCTGCCCTCCGCTGGAGAGGGACGAAGGCCGCCAAGATCGACCCCGACGAGAGATTTCCCGAGCACTTGGCGCTGAAAAACGCGCCGGAACAGCGGACCGTCGGAGGCGCGGGACCGCGGGCGCACGATGCGCCCTTGCGCCACGCTTGAAAATTCGAGCGCGCGGGAACGGGCCTATCACCCCTCTCGATGGGGGGCGGGGCGATTAGTTAAGGATAAATAGAGCGATTCCGAGAGAATGAGAGACTTGTTCTACGAGAGTTTCGAAGAAATTTAAGAGAGAGTATCGCGAACGCTCGGCACGGAAAAAGACGACGTGGCAGAAGCAACGAGAGACGAGTTCAACGGTGAGGTCACCCGGCTATCTTGAGTTTTATTTCGAAAATTTGTACGTCGTCCACCGGTACGGCTCGCGAGTCGACCCCTCTGGCCGGTCGCGATTAGTGTTTCGTTTGCGTAAATTTCGCGGTAGTGAAAAGAAGTCGAGTGCGACCGTGGTCAAGGGGTGACAGTGATCCGTCGATCGGTCTCACCCGATATACTCGTTCGCCTCTCCGTTATCCGTGTGACGCGCGTTAGTGCAGAATTTTTACCTCGAGGCTATCGCCGGTCGGAGTGGAGCGACTCCGACCGATTGTAAGTGCTGTCGACCGCCACCCCAGGGGAAAAGTTCCGCGACAGTCTGAGCGGCAAATTGGTGAGTACCTTGGAAATTGTGACAGCGAACCGGAAGTTGCGCGACCAGAACGGGCCTCGATTCTCGACCATCTCTCTCTACGTGCGTTCTGTTTTCTGGCGACTCGCTGACCGCGGACAATCGGCTGTCGGAGACGTAAGCTGTCGACACCCGCCGTGCCGTGTGTGCACCGGCGGGAACGCCTTATCGTTGCGACACGCGAATTCCGCGTTCCGATCGACCAGAGATTGCCGTTCTTGCAGTAGGTTACATCGTCTTGGCGTTATCTCTGGTCCCGCAATTAAATAATATAAAGTATCAAACGTGCATTTCCGTTTTCGATAATTCTAAGATAAGATCTTGTATTTCTTTCGATTCTGCGTACTTGTAATAGCGCGCTTCGTTCGGTTCGCCGAAATCGTAAGCGCTCGCGCGCTTCTTCCCGTTCTTCGTAATTGCAAGAGCTCACGCATTTCTTTCAGTTCTCAGTAATTGTAATATTCGGTACGCTTCTCTCTAGTCTCCGTAATAATAGAGTTTCGTGCATTCGAGTCTGTTTACCGTAATTATAAGGCCTTGCGTATTTGACTCGGTTTACCACTATTATACTGTCTTAGCTTTCTTTTCGATTAGTTATCTCGAGCGAACATTTGCGGTGAATCACGTCTCATTATTCCGGTTATTTTCGATTGTATTTTATACTTCCTTTGGTTGTCGTCAATCGTAGTATTGCGAACCTCGTTTCGATCTGATTTGTCATTCGATTGGACTTTTATATTTTTCTTTCATTTGTTATTTCTTTATTAATAAATCTGTTATATTGTCTAGTTAAACTCGCGTAATTTATTTGAATGTTCGTCCCCTGTGGTCATAGATATCCGTTTCTGTGTCTCTCGTGCATCGAATTAATTAATCGGCTCGCTCGAAGAACCCCTCCCCTCTACCGTTAGGCGAGCTAGTCAGCCCGTGGCGAAGGAGGCTATCATCTTTCGTGCTGTTTAAAAGTTTCGTAGAAAAACTGATGCGTGAAAGACCGCATCTGGCGCCCAACTTATCGAGATATCGAACTGCCTCCGCTCCGCCGCGGCTCGCGTGAGCACCTTTCATCCCTGTTCCTCCGAGCGCGGAAATCATATATTCCCCCTGAGTTTGACGGCGTTCTATCCGACCAAAATTAGAACAAAGAAGGAGAAAAACGTCGCAATATATACAGGGTGTCCCATTTTAATCCATCCAGTCGAATATCTCGAAAACCAAGTCCGAGAGAGAAAAATGTTTCAGACAAAAGTTGTATGGTTTCTAGGGGGACATAAGATGGTACCATTGGTTTGACCTTGAAGAGTTATTTGAAAGTCACATGAAGGTCACCTTCAATTTCTTAAATGGAACCTACATTTTCTCATTACATATTCTTGTAGCTCATCTCGAGAGCTTTCCAAAACATTATAATAAAATATTTTTTTATTGAGTACTTTCCAAGTTATGAGGCTTGAAATCATTTCTTAATTTTGCATAAACCATAAAATATCTAGTAAAATATGCATTTTTCGATTATCTTACCTTAATACATTTATGTACAAAATAATGAGAGAAATCAATTGGTGTAAAAAAAACATATAGTTGTTTCAAAGAAAAAATATGTAATTGTTAATTGCAAATTACATATTTTTTCTTTGAAACAACTATGTGTTTTTTTTACACCAATTAATTTCTCTCATTATTTTGTACATAAAAGTATTAAAGCAAGATAATCGAAAAATGAGTATTTTACCAGATATATTACGGTTTATGTTAAATTAAGAAATGATTTCAAATCTCATAACTCGAAAAGTACTCAATAAAAAAATATTTTATTATAGTGTTTTGGAAAGCTCTCGAGATAAGCTACAAGAATATGTAATGAGAAAATGTAGGTTCCATTTAAGAAATTGAAGGTGACCTTCATGTGACCTTCAAATAACTCTTCAAGGTCAAACCAATGGTACCATCTTATGTCCCCCTAGAAACCATACAACTTTTGTCTGAAACATTTTTCTCTCTCGGACTTGGTTTTCGGGATATTCGACTGGATGGATTAAAATGGGACACCCTATGTGTATATATATATATATATATATATATATATATATATATATATATGTATGTATAATATAATATGATATATAAAATTCTTTTATAATAATGTTATTAGACATATACAGGGTATCAGGGAATTTTTGATCTTTACGAAGTAAGGAGATAGATTGATTCAAATTAAGAAGGAAGAATTTCTATTGTTTTGTGATTGTCGGAATAATTAACAAAAAATTAAATAAAGAAGATCGGTCAATGCGCGTGGCTAGAAGCACACGGCGAAGGCAGTCTGACTGTAACATAATGGCGGCGCGTGGCGAAGCGCTGATTGGGGAGGGGAGGAGCATTCGCCACGCGCTTACACACTCATCGCTCTTCCGGAGTAGACCTATTCCGGATCGCAATGCGTTTCTCGGGTGGAAGTTTTCTAAGGTTATTTTCAAAATTGATGATGAAATGAGTTGTTAGTTTAGTCTTATTTGTTACCGATAAGCTGAAATTTCCACCTAATTGTAGAAAACTTTTGACATTATCAGGAACCTGAGTTGATAATATGTTAATAAACTTATTATTAATATTAGAAAGATCGTATTTAAAATCGGAACATGAAGACGGCTCAATATCAATAATGATTTTGTTATCGTGATGAGGAGACGAATGATTATAATGATCTTGGTGGTCAAGTGTTATTTCATCATTAAACATCTCTTGTACATTTAGTGATCTAACATAATGAATCGGTTTAATGTCAGACCTATTCGTTTGTTTCTCCATGATTTAATCTTCCTATCGAACATCCTACATGTATTATGATAAAAAGAAAATAAAGGCCCACTCTGTTTGTTAAAAAACGAAATACAAATAAATTCAGGAATGCTATTCAGTAATTGTTGTGTAGTGATATAAATGTGATCGTAATTATATTTAATAGTTTTATATGAATCGTTAATCTTTAATTTTAAAAGCTTCCTTAATTGCGACGCATCCTATGTCGGACAGACAGGCAAGAAGTTAATTACAAGAATAAATTAATATAAAAAACATATTGATAGATGTACAACTAATAAGTCTGTTATTATCGAACATAGGTTGAATTTTGATCATGAATTCAAATGGGATGACGTCAAGGTATTAGATAAAGAATCCTTTTATTAACAATCCTTTATTTAACAAAAGGTTAATTTCTGAAATGCTATGCATTAAACGATAACATAACGGTTTAAATTTACAAACGGATACAGAATGTTTTCCTGACATTTACAACGATATAATAAATAAACTTCCTAATGTCTGAGGGTCATACACAGAAATTTATATGACTAATGTTATTTTCGTCATTTATATTCTTGCCTTCGTAAGAGAAAGTGATACAGAAGAATTTTTTTTTTTAATGTTAACATAATTGTTCAACTTTGTTCCTCAATGTAAGTTATTTTTATCTTAATGATTTTTATGTCCATATAAACTTTTAAATTCCGCGCAAGTTTAATTATAAAAATTATATTTTACTTTTTGTCTTTTTTATGATTTTCATTTTCTTATTTTAATTATCTAATTGTTAATGAACTGCATATATTTTTGATTTTTATACCAGTGACAGTCATTGTTTTAT